AAAATCTTTAAAAGAAAAAAAAAAAAGATGGAAGGACCCTAGACTCACCTCAGTCATAGCCAACTAAGGCCCAGCAGCCAGAGTCTTCATTTAAGCTCCACCTCCTTCACCTCCACGTTCCCAGCTGGCAGGGCTGCAGGAAGAACAAGGGAACTGGGAGAAAGTCTTCCTTCCTTCTAGGGCTGATTTCCTGGCCATGCTGGATGATCCCCCAAAATGTCCAGAAGTAGGATGAGTCAGAACATGAGTCTACCTATAGGAATCACAATGACAATTGTATTTATTGAAACTACCCTGGCCCCACATTTCCACTGTATTTCAGAGCCTACAAAACAACTTCGCAACAATTCTTAGCACTTATCACAGTCAGTAATACATGTCTGGGCCCTTCTGTCTTAACTCACTGCTGTGTCCTAGCACAACACAGTGCCTGGTGACAGCAGGTACTTTTTAAATATTTGTTGACAGAATACGTGTCTTTGTAATTGAACCCCTGGACTGATGCTTCTGGGATTTTGGACTATCTATCATCTCTAGGATTTGAGTCCAGGTGACTTGGCCTCCAAACTGTTGCTATTTTCTACAACGGCAAGAGTTTTTCAACTTTTTTTTAACCATGACCCACAGTAATGAAGAAAATACATATCACGACTGCTCACTCAAATACATAAACTAAAGCTTCATGAAACAATACTTAATCTTACAAAGCAGAATGTACTGGGATGTTTTCAATTCTAGTTGGTTTCATTTTACTTCATTAAAAAAAATTATAGTCACTGCCCACTGAGTTTTTTCATGACCCACTGTAATGACGAGCATAGAAAGAGGAGCACACGCTAGAGGGAACTAATTGACTTATTTAGCAATATTTAATCAATTTATTATGTAATGTCCAATCAGTTGAGTTAGCAGTACACAATAGCAAAAGACAAAGATAATCAAGACAATTAAAAGAAAGGTAATTAGGGCTGGCTGAGTGGCGCNGCCACTCGGCCAGCCCATGGAACTGTTTATTAAGTCCCCATAGCAGGTACTGTTTGTTGCAAATGCTGGGGTGCCCTCAGGAAGTTCCCATCTGGCAGGAGACAGATCATTAAAGCAGCAGTTAGAAAGTGAAGGAACGGTGACAAGCTAAGCAGGAGAGAGAGGAGAGACTTTTAATGGGGTTGCAATTTGAGTCTTAGGGAAGCCCTGAGGCAAGGAAGGGACAAGAGTCTTCCAGGCAGAGGGAAGAGCAAATGTGAAGACCCCAAAGTGTCAGCATGAGGAATCACTCTAGAATGACGACGAGGAAAATGCTGCTAAGGCTGGAGCAGCAGGCAGGGGCCATATCAGGGCTTCTCAACCTCGGCACTACTGACACTTGGGGTCAGCTAATCCTTGGTTTGGGGACTGCCCTTGTTTTCTAGAATGTGTGGCAGCAATCCTGGGCTCTACCCACCAGATGCAAGGAACACCCAACAGTCAAAAAGGTCACCAGGCATTGCCAGTGTCCCCTGGGGGGGGGTCAGAATCAGCCAGCTGGGCACTGCTAGACTAGATCATACTGGTTCTGAGGCATTCAGGAGCTGGGAGTTCATTCTGTGGATGACGGGTAATCACTGAGCAGGGCCAAGGTGCATACTCACTCAGCAAGAAGAGGTTCTGGTAGTTGTCCAGTGCCGTGTCCCAGAACATGTCCCCCTGGTCCAGCCCCAGGTGCTCCCACTCCTCCAAGGTGAAGTCCATGGCCACCTACGCGAAGGTCATAAATTGCTAAAACACAACACACTGTCAGTGACTCTGGGGCTGGGGTCAGGGAGGGGAATGACGGCTCATTCAGTGTACCCCTACTCTTAACATGCCAGGCCTTTGGCACAAATCGTCTCATGAGAGCCTTCAGACCTAAGAGACAAAGCATCCCCATATTTTGTAGGCAAGGACACAGAGTCTTGGAGAGGGACGTGATGGCCCCAAGGTTACAAAGGCAGGACGTCAACCCAGGTCTGCCTGATCCTAAAATCCATTTATTTCTTTCACTTTCTTTTAGTGTTCATTCAAGATTTTGAGTTTTTATTATGGAAACTTTCAAACACACACCCAAGTAGAGGCATACACGCAACATACCGCCACGTATCCATTACCCAACTTCAACCCCCATCCTATTAGCATTCGTCTGTTTTGTTCATTAAGTCTCATTCCCCACTTATATTTATTTTTTGTGAGGGCTAAACTATTTCAAAGTTAATCCCCAGTGGCATCTGATTTCACCTGTGAATCCTTCAGTTTAACAGCAGAACCTCTTACTATCACTGAATACACACACCATATTCAGCCTGTATTCAGATTTGTCTGACATCTCAATGGTGTTTTTTTCCCAATTTTTTTTTTATTGGGGAATTGGGGGGATGGGAACAGCGCTGGGGAATTGGGGAAAGGGAACAGACAAGTTGCTGTCGTTTTGGTCTTCAATCTAGTTGTGGAGGACGTTGCTTCACTGGCCCAAGTTGGCACCATCATTGAGCTCTTCCCAGGCGAGGCAGATCAGTCGCCGGCTTCTGGACGGCCGCTCACTACAGCTGCTGGCTGCTCACGCTGGCTGCTGGCTACATACGGCAGCCCATGGCAACCCACTGTCACAGGGGCTGCAGCCTACACCGTCGCCTCACAGCAGCCCAGCTCCAGGTTGAGCTGTTGTTCAGCATCTTAGCTGTAGAGGGCAGTGTCACTGGCCCTCATATGTGGGATCCGAACCAGGGCCCTCTGACGTCCCAAGCCAGTTCTTAACCATCACGCCACTCGGCCGGCCCCCAATATTATTTTTATTGTGGTAAAATACATACAAAATTTACCATCTTAACCAATTCTTAGTACAGTTCTGTGGCATTAAGCACATTCACGCTGTTGTGCTACAATCACCACCATCCATCTCCAGAATTCCCTTCATCTTGCAAAACAACTGAAACTGTTTGCATTAAACACTAACTCCCCATTTCCCCCACCCCGAGCCCATCACCCACCATTCTGCTTTCTGCCTCTATGATTTTGACTACTTTGGGTTCAATGGTGTTTTTATAGTTGGCTTGTCTGATTCAGAATCCAAGGAGGCCCATGCCCTGTATTGGGGTTGATATGCCTCAGATGATGTACGATAGCTGTACACCTCCACCTTTTTTATTCCATTGTTCCTGATTTAGGGTGCCACATTTTGGATATAGCGAACTGCTTCCTCTTGGTGTCATTTAGCTGCTCCTCTGCCCACTACATTTCCTGGAAACTAGTCTGTAGAGCAGCGGCCTGATTATTCAGTACTCTGGGGGCAAGAGCCCTCATAGGTGTTGCTGGGTCTACTTTGGGCTGCATGCCTACCTGGGGTGCCTGTCTGATTGCCCAACTTTTGGTGATGCCATCTTTCTTAATTTTAAAACTTCCCAGTGAATAGGTTTTTTGAATAAAAGTTCAAATACTGGAGAAGTATTGACAATAAAAAGTGACAGTCTTCCCCCCAGCACTCCATCCCCAGGTGAACCCGTGGCTGTCTGGTGTGTTCCTTCCAGACCTCCATCAACACACACACGGACACATTTCAAGTTAAGAACGAAATCTGAGTCTTTAGTTTGGGTCTGAGCTAGGCCCCACTACCTTCCTCTGTGGGTGACCATTGGCAAGTAAGGTACATGCCCTTTCTAAGCCCTGATTCCTGCCCCATCTCATAGGGCTGCTATGTAAAGTGACCGACATGCTGCTGGGAAGCTCCTGTATGGTTCTTAGCACACAGGCAGGACTCAACCAAAGGGCAGCTGTCTCTAGTCTGGCAGGGCGGACAGACACAGGCAGGGACAACCACATCCAGGTAGCTTTGTTCTACAGTGAAGGCAGCAGGCGGTGCTTGGAAGACCAGAGCAGGGAAGAGCTGACTCTGCCCAGGAAGGTGGAGGGATTGAGCTGGGTCTAAGGCTGTGTAAGACTTATCAGCCAGAGATGGCAGGCAGGGTATTCTAGCAGAAGGAGGAGCCTGAGCAAAGGCTAGGAAGCTGCAAAGTACAGTGTAACACTTTACCACCAGGTCAAGAAGGGAGTATCGCTTGTGTGGGGAAAGGGAAGAGATGCCGTGCATGGGGGCAGGACCCAGATCACGCAGGAATGGGATGAGAAACCTGGATTTTATCCTGTAAGCAGTAACGATTCCTGGAAGGGTACTGAGCAGGAAAGTGGGAACGTGAGAACTTTAAGATCACTAGGGACCACCTAGGACAGTGAGCCCAGAACAAAGGCAGGCCAGCTGTGCAGCCTTTGGGGATGATCCATTAAGATGGAAGGACCCTAGGGCCAGCCAAGTGGCGCGATGGTGAAGAGCTGGCTTGGGATGCCGGAGGGCCCCGGTTCAGATCCCCCATATGAGGGCCAGTGACACTGCCCTCCGCGGCTAGGATGCTGGACGGCAGCTCGACCTGGAGCTGGGCTGCCGTGGGTCGCTGGCGACGGCATGGACTGGCGACGGCGTAGGCTGCAGCCCCTGTGGCAGTGGGTTGCCATGGGCTACCGTGTGTAGCCAGCAGCCAGCGTGAG